CTCTCTCTCTCTCTCTCTCTCTCTCTCTCTCTCGAAAATAAAAATTATACAAATTGTTTGGTAATAATTATTTAATTATTATTTATTATAAATTTTTGCATTTACTTAATAATATTATTTATAAATATATGATACAAACAATTAATCGGATTATTATTAGTAATAATGAAAATTTTAGGATATATTTAACACTAATATTAAGAGTAATAAAAGTTATATAATAGCCATACAAATGCGATACAAAGCAAAATTATATGAAATAGTTTTATATAATTAAAAATATTTATCATTAGATAAAAAAACTTTTTAAGATCTTAAAAATTTTGTCACAATTATCGCGATAATAATAAGTATTAAAAAAAAGTTTTGAAAAAGTTTTTTGTCGTATAAATTAATATTCAATTAAATTATTTATTAATAATAAAAATGATTTACTAATCACTAGTGAGATATAAAAATGATATATTAATTATCAATTAATTTTAAAATGTTAAAAACATATAAATGTACATGGTATAAATTTTTTACGATTCATTAATATAATAAAAGTATTGTTAAAATTATTTAGATATTAATTAATTAATAATAATAATAAAACAAAATTAATTTAATAACTAATTATTGGTTAGACTTGTTACTATATAATATACTAGTATACCAAATGTTAGCCTGGCCACTAAACATATTTGATTTAGTCGTTAAAATTAGTACAAATGTTGTGTTCATAAAAACAAATTGTTATATAAATTGTGAATTTATTTATACATTTAAAAAGCGATTTGCTATTGATTTTCAGCCACTAATCACAGAATATTCTGCGAGTAATTCTGTGACCAATAATTAAATATAAAATTCTGTGAATATATTAATAGTAATAATTAATAATAATTTTAGTTAACTCTCTAATAGTCATACAATTAGTCCTTACGATAAGCTTTTGATTCAATATTTCCATACAATTTGCAAACAAAAAACATTTTTCTAAAGAAAAAAAAATCTAAAATTTTGTTTCATTTTCGGAAATCATACAAAAATTAGTGTATATTTTAAAGCCTATGATGCGAGTCATTAATAATAAAACAATTCAAGTGATGAGAATTTTTACAAACATTTTCGTTGCAATTGATTTTAATTAAAAAATTTAATTTGAAATAATAGTTATAAGTATTTTCTAAATTTCAAAAATAATTTAAGAAATTTTAATGCGTTTGGTTGTGACCCACCCTCGCCACTACAACCAGGTTGGTTATTTATGACTGATGTATCATGGTCACTTAAGATATAATCGCAAATATCATTGAAAATCTTATTCTCATTTGATTTAAGCTTATCTTTTATGGAAACAAATTCCGGATCTTTGATAACAATATCCTTATCGATAGACCACTCGTTATATTTAGCCAATACTTCACTGCATTCCGGTCTATCCCTCCAATTGGGTGATCTAACCATTGATACCAGGGTAGTTTTCAAACAATGTGCGGATTCATTTAGGACACCATTTGAAGAATATTCTTATAATTTAAATTAAAAAGAAATAAATTAATATTTTAATTCAGATAAAATAAAAAGGGAAGTATTTTTATATACTTTTATTTGGGTCGCAATCAGACAAATCAAACTCAAATATTTCGCCACCAATTAGTCCCACGTTATGGACATCCGCTTTGGGACCGTATTTTTGGCCACGCATTACCTCCAGTGGCACATAGCTAGGGTGACCAACATCTGTCGTATGCTTTCGTGTAGTCCGGTAATGAACCCGTTTGTCGTGAACTGTAGCCAAACCAAAGTCACATAACTTTACAAATCTGTCGTTCATTATGTTTTTGGCGATTAATATATTTCCCGGATTAATGTCTCTGTGAATGATCTGTGGATTCAATTCATGCAAATA